ATTATTCAATACACTTATAACCATCGCGGCATCGAATGCCAGCTATATGCTGACGATGTTATTTTTTATACAAAAAATGCAAATCTTACTAACACGTCAAGACTTTGCGATAACATTTTAGCCGAAATTGGGACATGGTCTTTGGTAAATGAACTTAAAATTCTAGGGCTAATATTAGATTCTAAATATAGCTTTAAGGCTCATTGCAAATACGTTAAAGACTGTCTGCTAACGCGACTAAATATAATCAAATATCTAACGTCTAAAAAAGCTTAATTCATCCAACCACGCTCATCAACATCACTAAGGCTCTAATGCTCTCCAAGATTGACTAGGCTCTACCTATCTTCGGCGATAGCTCTATGTTGAAAAACCTTTGCACCCCTTATCATGTGGCCATACGCAGAAGCATAAGGGCTTTTCCAACGACACCATTAAAGAATCTTTTTGCCGAAACTGGCCTGCCGACTATAACGGAGAGGACTATCGATTGCACCCGCCGTCTGCTACCAAAGCTTCTTTTTACACCGAACACCATTCTGGCCAAAGACGTCCAGAAGGCCTTCTCGAAGAAACGGAAACCTAAGCGCCTGTCAGTCATTGAGCAATGTGTCAACGTTGCCAAACAACTTGAGTTAACATCTTATAAACGTATCCTTGAACCTGAAACTCGTCCACAATGGATGATAAAAAACGTGTCCTTTGCTATCAAGACCCTGAAACTACTAGCAACAAAAGACAAGACCACAAGCGAACAATATAGACAACTTTTTGCTTCCGGGAAGTCGAAATACTCTGGTCTCGGATAGAATTTTTTATAAACCGACGGCTCTAAAACAGCTCACTATACAACATTCGCAGTTATAAAAGAAAATTGCGACCTGATAAGACACGGGACACTCCACACAGTCTGTTCAGCGTTTACGGCCGAAGTCGCCGCGTTATTAGAAGCAGTTTCTCATGTAAAGCACACCAAAGCACAGTTCATAATATGCACGGATAGCAAATCTTGTATTGAAGCCATAGAATAACCGCAAAATTCACAAAATGAAATAGTAGCCATACGCAATAATCTCTTGAAATATCCAAACAAACTCAAACTGATGTGGGTCCCAGGGCACACAGGGATATCGGGTAACGAAAAAGTGGACGCAGCTGCGAAAAATGCAGCAAATACTCCAACTTTGACGTTAGGTTATTTTAGTAAGCAAGACCTCTTAACTGAGATTACTCAACAAAGACAAAATAGCGCATTAAATAACTGGAGTGGATATGTTCATCACTATTCGAAAATCAACCCTTTCAAAATAAAACCGATCTATACTCCAGACCAGGGTTGTTGCGAATATTCACATTCGCATTCGCAACCGCGGTGTTTCCGCATTAATTTTAACGTTCGCATTCGCAATAATCAATGCGGAGCTTTTGCGAATGCGAATGTTGTGCAAGTGCACGGATAAAACGTATATATGGCAAACAATATGACAAATTGTAGCCAATATTTTTGCCTGTGGTCGAGGGAGTATTTGTGTAACAAAACTGGTCAAATATCATATTTATCAATTTTGATAACGATGCCTTTAAAGATATTATTTCTTAAGCTATATAAACGAGCTATCAATGGGCAGTCATTCAAGTTCCCACTTCTACTTGACCTTTGACGTACGTCAAAGAGGACATAGTCCTTTAATAATTTTTTTGCTGTTCTTTAAATACCTGCATTGGTTTCTTTCTTTATTATGATTTTTTGGAGTAATCTTAAAAAATCTACTAGCCAAAAAATAAGAAAGTGTACACTGTAATTCTTAAGCAAATTTTCGTGATTTGCTTTTGATGTTACATACATATATTCGTTTCAATAATTTCAAATGAGGCTCTTCTTCTTTATTTTTAGCAAAAATTTTAAAAACAGTAATTTTGTTAACTTGTCGGACAATATTTTTTTCGTAGGGATATACATTGGATCCTGGTTAAAAACTTCTGCGGTAAAATTGTCCCTTCTTTGCTATTTAAAGTCAAAGAGTAAGCTCCTTCAATAGGGATTTAAAGCAGAAATGATCAACGTCTGGCTATAAAGAGAATATATGCTCAAAGGATTAAAAAGCTATAGGTCTGACCTTTACTTAGATAAGAATTACGTAACTTTCTGAGATGAAAATGCTTATAAAAAACACGACTTTGAAAACAGAATTTTGTTCAAAATTTTCATTCCTGGAAAGTAATAATTTACTTTCCATATCCACCGATTTAGCTCGCCATAAGCACACATTTTTCAAACCAGTCGAAAAATCGAAAAACGCTGATGAAGTTACAGATTCCCCATATTCTGAAACAGCCAAAGAATTGAGAATGAAAGTTTCTTTTTAAAAAGCTTTAGAAAAACTTGTCACATCTGGATTAGCTTGTAAGCGCTGTTTAAACAACGATCTCGCCATTATGCCAGATTCTAATTGTTGCTTAAAAATACTTGACATCCGCATTCGCATCCGCATCCGCGGATGTTAGCAGTTTAATATTCGCATCCGCATACGCATCCTCGGATGTCTAAAATTCCACATTCGCAACATCCCTACTCCAGACATCCCACTACGTGCCATCAGGCCCTTCACCCGCTTACGTCTGGGCTACACCATAATTACACATGCTCATTTACTGCAACGTGCCCCGCATAGTAGCTGTCTATTTTGCGACGAAAATGCAACGTTGGAACACATACTAGCTTCTTGCTTCTTGGTTTCGTCGATCCATTCCAGCTTTTGCACGAGCCCACGGCAAAAAATGTGGAAATTATTTATAATTTCCTTAAAGAAACTGATTTACTGCGACAAATATGATATAAGTAACTATGTACACATGTAGATAATTTAATTAATTCATTAACCCTAACTTCTAAGTAATAATTTATCCTCGCATTTTTGTATCTAATTTCAATACAAATAAGCTTTATATAATAACAGACAGCCGAAGGCCTTTGCAGCCAGTGCTGCTGATATTTATTTGTAGAATATTAAGTATTGTACAAATAATTTATAAAAAAAAGTATCTGAAGAATCAGGAAATACCATGCGATTTATTAAAATCAACATTGACCGAGCCTAATGTACATACGAGTACAGTCATATACATATGTTTATTTTACATATGCTATTTATAATAATAGTTTGGCGCTTACACATATGTTAGTGTTTGGCCGAGCTTCTCCTCCGATTTGTGGCGTGCGCCTTGATGTTGTCACACAAAGCGGGGGGACCTACAGTTTTACGCCGACTCCGAACGGCGATTGTATTTTTATGAGAAGCTGTTTTTCATGGCAGAAATACACTCGGAGGTTTGCCATTGCCTGCCGAGGGACGACCGCTGTTAAGAAAAAACCTTTTGCTACATTTTTTGCGATGTTGCTTTGACCAGGGCTTGAACCCAGGCGTTGCGGAGTGGAAGCGCGCACTGCTTACCACTACACCACAGCGGCCGACATATGCTATTTAATCGACAATAAAGTCAAAAATTTTAGTGACGAATGGATTTCAAACAAAGAGTTCAAGCCGTGGCTGCTTAAACAAGACGAGTACACAAAGTCTGTTCGACATTTTTTTGTTTGGAAGAAACTGCCAAAAATCAACGCGATTTTTTACCAACTTCAAACTGGCACTTAGTTATACAACAGTGTCAACTTGTAGGCAAATTTATTGAATTTTCCTGGGTTTTGCATACATACATTTTTATGTTTTTGTTGTAGTGTGAACTATGTTTTAAAAAGTTACATATGTACAATGTGAAACATTCCCCGTGCCAAATATATATGTATTAAAGTGCCCATCGAAAATGCTTTTTTTTGGAAATTTCCAGACCCTACCCCCTAACTTTATTTGTTTTTATGAGAAGTATTATTGCCTATTTTTATAGATTTTTTAAAGGGCATTTAGAGGCCCCGACCTGTCGATTTAGGTCAGAAAATAGGATTTTGTAGATTTACCAGTTTTTGAATGACTGTTTTGATTTGATTTCAAAGATCGAATATAATATGAGAAGAAGATATATAGGCACTTTAAACGGTATATAATAATCTGTTGTTGGACTAGGCTTGTTGAGATTTTTTATCGGGAGAATTAAAAAAATACCCATATTTCTCTTAATTTTTTAAATTTGACCATCGATAATTTCTACAATTTCAAAATATGGAGTACTATCTAAAATTAATCTATTTTCAAATAAACTGATACATCATTTATTGCAATCGCGTAAAAATTGTCGAATTTAGGCGACTTTTCTTAAATACGGCCTTGAATTTATTTGTGTGCATGTACCGGAATTTCAGATTTTTAAGCAGTGGGGCTAAGGAGTTCATCAATATTTATTAAAATATTTTATTTATAATTTATAATTTGGTGTGATTTTTATTTCAACTTAAATTTAAGTTTTAAATTATTTAAAAGTATTTACATTGAAATTTTGTATTGTTTGTTTTATAAAGGGATCAGTTCAATAGTTATAACTTATAACTATGTATTTAACATTGAATTGCATATTTTAAGAATCACAATAACCATTCGTTTTGCCCAAAACATAGGTCTGTTTTCCAAAATAAACTATAACTATAAATTGACATATTTTCAGGCAAAACTTTAGAAAATATATTTTTAACCGACTTCCAAAAAAGGAGGAGGTTATCAGTTCGTCGGAATATTTTATTTTTTATTTTTTATGTATGTTACCGTATAACATTGGACCACGTCAACAGATTTCGATAATTATTGCATCGGAAAGGTAGTGTCTCAGAGGTGGTCCCATACTAATCTGGTTTAGATCCGATCATTGGATCATGAAATATATATATATACTAGCAATACCCGGCGCGCGTTGCTACGCCAAAGAAAAACACATGTATTTAGAGATTTGAAATTGAATACCTTTTTAGTTACCTTATTTAATGCTAAGGGATAAACAATATTTTTAGTTTTTTCATTTGGTGTGTAAATATATAAATTTTGTGGTGTCCCAACTCGTGAACAGGCGACGTATAATTAGCCATGTGAAAAGCATTTGCCCTTGTGCTTTATTTATAGTTATAGCAAAGGCAAGACGCAAAGGGAATTGAAGCCGCTTGAATTCGAACGGTAAATCGTTGGAAATCATCGGTATACGTGGAATTAGCACATCTTCGCCTTTGAATTTACCGCTGATGATTGTTGCCTCGATCAAATTCGGTGTTAATTTTTTTATTATCACTCTGGTTCCGTTGCACAGTTTCGGCGCGTTCAAGTTCCGAATAAGCATCACTGGTGATCCAACTTTTAACGCCAACGAATGAGGAGGCATTCCAGGTGGCTCCAAAGAATTATGAAGTTCAGTTGGGTAATTAACAGCTTGATCTTTGTCCATTACTGTATCAATCGATTTATATTCGACTGCTTCTCCTGGAATTTTCAATTGAATTTGACCGTTTAATTTACTAACATCATCGTTCTTCGGAGCTAAAATTGCACGTTCGCGGAGCCATTCCGGATTTCGGTAGTTGATCGTTAAGTTCGGAAATACTCTGTCGATGACGTCTTGAATGCTCTGCTGCACTTGACAAAAGTTGGACGGAAATGATATCTCATTTGTTGTGCGATCAATATGAACTTTACCGTTTCCGATATCTAAAAGTTGCTTTGAAAATATTTGGGCAGACGTATCTTGCAGCAAATGCACTCGCATATTTGTTGTGAGCGTAATTTTTTCGACATAGTTCCACAGATGCGATGCCTTTAAGCACGCGTTCAGCTCGTCTGCAGGCGTTGATCGTGGTATAACGGGTAATGTTTGACGAAAATCACCTGCAAGAAGTATAAGAGCGCCTCCCATCGGTTGGTCTTTTCCACGAAAATCTCGCAGAGTTCGGTCAAGTGCTTCGAGCGATTTCTTATGTGCCATGGTGCATTCGTCCCAAATTATAATTTTGCACGTTTTAAGGACTATGGCCATACCAGAGTTTTTGCTGATGTTGCATGTAGGTGTTTCGGTCTGGTGCAAATTCAATGGAAGCTTAAGTGCTGAATGCGCTGTACGTCCTCCATCAAGTAGTGTTGATGCAATCCCCGATGATGCTACTGCTACTGCAATCCCATTTCGCATTCGAACTGACGCCAATATTAAATTGATGAGGAAAGTTTTCCCGGTACCTCCTGGAGCATCTAGGAAGATAATTCCGCCATCTCCTTTGGTTACACGTTGCATGATTTTGTCATAAGCTTTTTTCTGATCAGCAACTAAAAACTCTTTTTGCGTTTGCACAAATCGTTCAAGCTGATTTGCATCAAACTGCTGTTCTCGCATCAAGTCTCTGTCTTGTACAGCATTTCTATCTCGTGTCGGTGCTGGCATACCGAGTTGACAAAGAGCTTTGTTGTTGATTGACATGCATAAGTCCTCCATTAATATTAAAGCTTCATTGAAAATGTCATCCGAATATTCCTGACTTGGATCGCTTGCACGTGCTTGTCTTAGAATATCTTCACTGAGGCTTTCACGATGCATTTCCCACAGTTGTCGAGGATTCGATGGTGCGCATGTTGTTAAAATTATCGCAAACAAAGTTCGTATTTGCTTTGGATGGCACGTGAGTGATGCTTCGGTCAGAGTTGTGTTCCAATTCTGATCATTCTCAAGTAAGCCCAGTTTAAAGCACGCTTCTCTGTACGTTTGGCATTCTACTCCGTCGATGGTTTTCAATGCAAGGAATGATGTCGGCCCTTTGATTGTATGCAGCAACAACCGCAAATAATAGCACTCGGCGTTATTTGGATGAACAGTATACACACGTCCCAATGCATCGGACGAATATATACCAGGATGCTCTGGAACAATTGCACCTCTTTTTCTTCTGTTGAACTTTTTTGTCGATGTGTTCCAAGTATAATATTTGGGCACATCTTGATACAGCAACGTTTTAGCAAAATTTTCGGATGTACACAATTCGAAAAAAGCAGTCAGTGTTGTGTTTTGTGGTTGCTCTGCTCTATTTTGCGCATTTTCTTCGGTGAAGTAAACCGGCTGACCATTTTCCAAATGAACAGCAAGATGTTGAACCGTTGGATATCGTTCGTGAATATTGAATGCAAATATTCGCCATACTGCTTCGTTACTGCTGATGTAGCGCCCTGTTTGATATTGCGTGATCTCATCAACTCGATTTGCTAATCCGAATACTGCCATGTCACTGCCCTTGTTAACATATTTACAAATATATTTTATGGACTTTACCGAATTACAATACTCAACATTGATGTGAGCATTAAACATTTTTGAAAGTAGTGGCGAGTATGGCACGATCCATCTATTGTCTATGTCGATATCTACACTTCGCATCTTAATAGTAGTTGTGTATCCACCATTAGTGGGATTTCTTCGCCTATACAGAGGATATCCATCACCTCCAGTTTGAGTTTCAGTAATCAACTCACGTGGATATCGCTTTGTGCATTTGCCGTTTTGCATGCATGGTGAATTAGGATTAAAAGTACCGCATGGCCCATGAATCATATTTTTCTTGTTTATTTCAAAAAGAATGGGATCTTCAGCTTGATTTGGAAGCTCGGCTGATATAACGCTATTAATTTGTGTAGGTATAATTTTTCACTTCAACCAAATCAAAATGTGAGCGCGTGGTAAGCCTCTCTTTTGCCATTCAATTGAGTACATCCAGCAAAAACAAAATTCTTCGTGATGACATTCATAAGACTTATTAGATTTTGCTTGAATATTCGAGCGAGAAGATCATGTCTGTGCGATGAGCTCTGGCCTGCAAAAAGCAATTCGGATATTTCACTCCACGATGGAGTGCAAGTGAAGGTGATGAATAGGTCTGGTCGTCCATACTTTCGAACGTACGTCATAGCATCTTGCCCGTATTCGTGCATGTGTCGCGAGCTTCCTGTATATGTTACAGGTAAAATTACCATTTGTCCAATGTCAGCAATGTTTCCATCAATAGCAACTGCATCACGTAAATGAACGTATTCTTCAACGCGCAGCTTCTTTTGATTTAAGCGAATGAAAACAAGACGTTCACTTTCGACTTTCGCGTACATGTCCGCAATAAACTGTTGGAATAATTCACGACATTTTAAGATATGATTGGATTCATTTCCACGAATCATAATGCGGTTTGCATAATAATCCATGCAGGACACTTTCTTTGTCGTCGCCTCACTTGTGCTGGGGTCGACTTGCCTGATGTTGAAATGATATCCTTCTTCTCCATGGGAAACAGCACTGGATATTGGAGTGCATCACACGATCGATGTGCATGTAACCGCCTTCAGATATAATTTTCGTTGCTCCAAACGAAGTCATTTGAAAGCAAGAGTTGTACTTGCGTACGTTTTTCAAAAAGTGGTTTGAAATAAAAAAATGTTGCAAGGAAAACGTAAACATGTTGCACCAGTGTGACGTCATGCAAACAACGATTCTGTCAAATTCGTTAAGAGAAGAATAGCGGTCCGAGATCGGCGCAACCTTTGTATTCTCTCAATCGTGGTCCATGGTTGCCTATTTACACGGGACTTAAATTCCGAGAGTCTATTAAACGCGTTTATGCTTTCTTTCGCTTATGTTTGCAAATTACATAAAACTTTGAAGGAAAGCTTTTGTTGAAAACAAATGGAGATGCATCGAAATTGTTCGGCATATCTGTCGCAAATAAGTAATATTCTATAGCTACGGGGCTTTTACCAAATTAAAGGCCAGATTTGTCGCTATACATAAAGGGGTACCTAGTAATTGTATGATAATAACTGTTCGTTTTCCAACAAAATGACTATAAAACAAATGAATTCAAATACTTTTTGTTTCTTAAAAATACATTTTTTACCCAGTAGGCGTAAAAAAAAGTATACCACACTATGTGTTGTGATTACAACTTACTTTATAAAAATAGTTATGTATAATTTAATTGCTGCGATACGAATACCCTAATTACTGCAGGTAAATGAAAAAGATTCAGAGTATTAAGAAAAATTACTCTAATTAGAGTAAAACGTGTTTATTTGTTTGCCGTCGTAATCCAAGTGAAAGAGTCAAACTTAAGCGATATAGCAAATGCATAAAGTGTCGCTAGGAAGGACAGCGTAAGAAGGAACTGATGAGAACATTAATATTAGTTCGCTCACTGCGATATTTTGCTGCTTTATCGATGGTTTTGGGATTCGGTCTACTCTCGATAATTTTTAACACTATTGATACTATCGAAAAATTACCACTCTAACTGCCATACCTAAACAAAAGCGTCAGCGTTGTCTGGCTGTCAAAAAATTCTTATGCCCATACTTTGTATGAAGCATACCGAAATAACGCGACGTCAATGCTGAGCGGTTGGAAAATCCGATTTTGACATAGCGTTAGGTAGTGAAGTTGGCTGCAGAAAACGGCGAAACTCTCATTCTCGTGTTTCACACAAACAAACCGTTGCTTATTTTTGGTGTTATTTCTGCATTTGACGTAGCGTTAACGCTTTTGTAATAAATTTGTTATACGGGTAAGGGCCAATTTCACAGTGGATAGTTAACACAGAAACGGCAGTTAACTAGAGATTCTGAGTTAACTACGCACTGTGAAATTGGCCCTAAGTATTTTGAGAATAAAACAAGTAATTTTTAACAAAAAACAAAGCCGACTTCAATTCTCATATAAAAAAAATATATACATCTATATATATAAAAGAGGATGTATGTATGTATCTATGCAGCTTATAGACTCCAAAACCATTCAGCCGATTTTGTTAAAATTTCCAGGATAGCTTCATAGAAACTCGGAGAGTGTTCCTGTGAACTTTGGCTATTTTTGAAAGAGTTGCCACCTGTCAGAAAAATTAAATTTATTTAAATATGCAAGTAAAGTAAGTATAGATATCAAATGGAAGGTATTTGAGAAAGATATTTAAGAAAATTTACATCAAAAAATATTTTAATAAGTGTTGCCACCTGGTCAAAAAGTTAAAAATAATGAATATCTAATGCAATTCACATCAAATATTGCAATATGGGTATCAAACGGAAGGTATTGGAGAAAGATTCACGTCAAACATATTTTTGAGTAGAGTTGCCACCTCTTTCAAAAAAAGTTAAATTACATAAATGTGTGTATTAATAAGTATTTCGCAGGATACGTATCAAACGGGAGCTATTGGGAAATGTTTCTGTTAAGACCAGTTATCGTACAGAATGTCCACATACTTAAGAAAATAAAATCGGATAATTTTTTTAAGAAATACCAAAGATTTAGAGTGTGATAAACTTCAAAGTCTGTCAAACCGAAAGCTTACCAGAAAGAAAATGCCGAATCAAAATTTTTAAATCTATATGTGAACATATGTATGTATGTTAATGCCAGAGTTGTGTAAGTTTTCACCAGGTTGCAATTTAAAAACGGAATTTGTTTAATAGTTAAAAACCAAAAAAGTACTCAATATTAATGCATAACTTTTCTTTCTTATTGAATAAGGCTTAAAAAAATATAATAAAATTTGCAATAAAAAATGTTGTAATATTTTTTCCTAATGCGTATACGAGATTTTGCTTGCATAATTTTCCAAAATTTGGGTGTATAAATTTTGGTATTTTTCCACAACATTCATGAAGAGAATACCTACATACAAAACACTTTGTTACCTAAGTTCACATAAATAAAGGGTTTAAAAATTTCAAATTATTTGTGAGGAAAGTACCTGCAGAATTATAGCATTCGTTTTTATTTCACGGTTGAAGGTAGTTAAATATTGTTTACAAGAGTATATTTTGTTTCCCAAGTTTACCTAAACAATGGCTTCATAAATCTTGGGATTTTTCCACAACATTCTTGAAGAAAATACCTACGTACAAAGAAATTTTTCTGTATACACTAATTCAGATAAATAAGAGGTTGCGAAAGTCTACCGATTTTTTTTAAATTCATTGCAGGAAAAGTACCTGCAGAGAATATATTCTGCTGTTTGCACACGTTTTAGAATAGATAAAATATAAGGATTTTTAATCTTTTTAAGTGGAAGGTACCTTCAGAGAACATATTTATATTGTTTGCCTGAGTTACATAAATATAAGGTCGCATAGCTAATACATTCGCTCATAGCAAGTGTAGACACTGCGCAAGCGATAGTGAATTCTTTTTCATCTGAGATCAGTTCAACATACAGAGTATTATTATTTACATTCACAAAAAAATAAAATCATGCCACCAAAGAAAGCATCAATTGGAAGAAAAAACCCCAAAACAAAAAAGTCGAATGAATACAGAGCGGCGAAAATGGAAGATCAACGAAATGTCCGACTTCAACAAAATCGAAAAAGCTCGAGAAATGTGGAAACGGAAAACCAGCGGGAATCTCGCCTCCAGCAAAATCGTGTGAGAGCTTCAACCTCCAGAGACGCTGAAACCCTGGAACAACGAGAATCTCGCCTACAACAAAATCGTGTGAGAAATTCAACCTCCAGAGACGCTGAAACCCTGGAACAACGAGAATCTCGCCTCCAGCGAAATCGTGTGAGAGCTTTAACCTCCAGAGACGCTGAAACCCTGGAACAACGAGAATCTCGCCTACAACAAAATCGTGTGAGAGCTTCAACCTCCAGAGATTCTGAAAATCCCGAACAACGCAACGAACGG